TTTGAATATTTTTGAGTAAGGAATGAGATTGATAGTTCTATTTCTATATGTAAATTATAGGAAGAATTTATGATGACAGTGGTTTATAATTTTATTTTTAGTTTGGCAATATCTAACTTTTTATACTTTACCCATACGTGTGGTGTTGTTGTTAGTGAAGTGTCTATCCATAAAACTAGATGGAAACATACATTATGTGTGGTATAGAAACATTGTCTCTCCATAAACCAAAGATGTAAATTGTTATATTTATGAATTATTTTAAGTAAGGAATGGGATTGATAGTTCTATTCCTATATGTAAATTATAGGAAGAAATTTACGATGACAATGGTTTATAATTTTATTTAGTTTGGAAATATCAGTACTTTTTGATACAACACAACTTCACCAATACATGTTGGTGTTGATGAAGTGCCTTCGTCCTTAAAACATTTATATCCAATAAAAGTACATGAAAACATACAAGTATGTGTAATATAGAAACATTGTCTCTGCACAAACTGAAGAGGTAACTTGTTCTCATTTTGGATATTTTAAGGAATGGAATTGATAGTTCTATTCCTGTATGTAAATTGTTGGATGAAATTTATGATGAGAATGGTTTATAATATTATTATTATTTTGGCAATGTCTAAGAAATATGCTTTTTATTTGGATTTGTAGAATTGTAGTTATATATTTATTTATTATATTTTATGAATTTATGTATATTTTTAGTTCATACCATCCTGAATCACAAAAGTATAGCGAGAGCAGAACTCCATTTAAGGAAGCAAGACCTATCAATCAATACCATTGGGCTATGTCAAAAGCCAAAATTTCAGTAAAACCATTTAACTTTTTTCCAGGTTATCAACCGGTAACCTGACTTTTGTGTAGTAGTTTTTGTGGTTTGTTTCGGTATGTTTTGATGCATTTTTTAGTCATTTCTTGACGTGTTATTCATAGCTCCTTGATATATTTCTCCTTATGGCATCATCTTCCACAGAATCACTGTTTTCCTTATTTTATCTAGATTCTCTTATGTGGTCCTGATAAGCACCCAAACACTTGGAGAACCCATCCTTTAAAAGCTAGTTGTTTAGGGGGCGAACCAAACACTTAATATTCCGCTGAACATCCCATACTACTATGGGACTTAGACACCATATAATACCTAAAATCCTATTAGGCCCCAACTTAATTTCCATATAGGATCTGTTTAGACATACTTCTTCATAAGGAGTTTTAGGAGAAAAACAGTTGACTTCTTCAAGCTAAAATTAATTTATGTATAAGTTAAAAATAAAATTTTAGCAAAGCTATATGACTAAACTTCTACAAATTAGTTTGTATATAAGATAATTTTAATTTATGGAGAAACTAATTTCAATTTTTCTCTCCTAGAAGTACTTATTGGAGAAACTCGTTTAATTAGATCTTTATTTCTTTTGGTTTGTTATATGTTAACATTAGATTTTGGCTATTTGAGCATTACTTATTATGCCTGAATGTTACTTGTGTCATGGAATGCCTTTAACGTCAAGTATTAACCTTTTTATGCAAGAACTATGCATTATATCTGTGTTTGTGCTGATTTACTTGCCCCATTAGTTGCATTTGCTTCAAATCTTTGAGAATGCTAGGAACATCTTGTTCTGCATGTTTCTTTGTTGAACGTAGATCTGTGTTATCTATTTGGTCTCTCAATTTATGTTCCGTACTACCTTGAGTTGTTCAAACTTTGTTTTCATGGGTAAATAGTATGTTTCCATGTGATTTTATACTAGGACTGCTATTCTACATGTTTGGATTACTTGATTTTCTTCAATATATGACTTTTGAAATATGATAAACCAGTCTCTAATATTTCATTTCAGCTGTAATTGTTCTCTTCTCTTCGTACATCAATGTTCCTCTTCGGAGTTTGGCTCAAGAAAAGTACCATAATATTTTATAATGTCAACTTATAGGTTTAAAAGTTACCACATGGCAATAATAACTTTGTCTATCATTTAAATTCCTATTGATAAATATTTATTGACTGCCTTCTTAATCATCAATCTAATGATTGTGTTTGATAATCAGGGGGCATCACCTTGTACACATTATGCACAACATGGAGTATGTAAGTTTGGTTCTGCATGCAAATTCGATCATTCTATGGGATCACTGAGTTATAGTCCATCTGCTTCTTCCCTGGCTGACATGCCTGTTGCACCCTATCCTGTGGGTTCAACAATTGGTACCCTTGCTCCATCGTCATCGTCATCAGAGTTGCGGCTGGAACTTTCCTCTGGATCCAACAAAGAGTCTGTTCCATCCAGAATGTCTTCATCGTCCGGAATGTTGACAGGGTCAATAGGCTTGACTTTGTCAACTGGTGGGCCGATTTCTCAATCAAATAGTCAGCCATCTGCTCCAAGTCTGGATCCATTAGCCACTGCCACTAGTACCACCACTAGCAATGTCTCTCACACCTCAAGCTAAGCAATGTGAATGCATACCTCATCATTACTCCTCTTTTCCATCCCAATTCTTCCACTGGACATAATTATTCAAGGAGGTCCTCCAATAGGTTTTGTTTTCAGTTGTCCCAGTTCCACTTTCAAGTCTAGCACACTTCACACCAATTATCTGTGTTTATATAATCTTTATGTGGCCATTCCTTTTATCTTGAATAAATCATGGCCATCCTTGAGAATTTTAGCAATCCATACGACCCCCTTGCTTTTGAATAACTCTCAAAGAATCTGCAAGCCCGTTGTGCACATGCCCTGTCACATCTCCAAATTTTGGAGCTTGTAATGTTTATCTGTGCTCCATTCTTTTTTGTACCAGAACATTCTGTCTACCACGTCTTTATGTCTCTTCACCTGAACCCTTTCCTAATTTGGGACAATTTTCCACTTCTGTTTTGTAAGTACTGTTTAATACGTTTCCCAACAACTTGTATTTAGGGTTAATCGTGAAGAGCAGTAAGCAGGAGAACTACAATGGGGCTTCACATTGCTATCTTATATGGTTTTAGATACACGATGATGTTGTGAAATGAAAAGCTTGACTTGCTACTTAAATTTATTACAGAATACATATATGAAGAAGCAAATCTAAATTAGCACATTTGAATGCGTAATAACCTTTATTACCTTTTTTGTTAGTTTATACCTGATCAAGCTTCCTTCTGAGATCAGTTATTTTTCAGGTGTTTATTTGGTTATATACATTTCTCCTTCCACTCCAATGAATATGTTTTGTTGAAAGATACCTGTACTGTAAATAGTACGCACTCCGCACATAACAGCCATTGATATTTCTCAGTGTTATTATATGCACGATGCAGTGCACTTGGCCAACAAAAACGATGGCATAAAAAAATCAGTCCAATTGCCCCATGAGCTCTGAACTGAAATTCCAAGTTTCATAGCACACTTGTCTATCAAAAATTTGTTGGCATGATAAAAAATTGTGCTCTACCTGAAGACAAAAAAATCAGATAAATGATTTGTGTTTTAAAATTCAAATTTTGAAACTAAATTTAATCATTATTTTATGAATTGTATGATGTTAAAAAAATTATATGAAGAAGAACATTGGAAAAGAAACATAATCTCATGTCATGAAGACAACTATTTCTAAAATATTAACGACTACCAAATTTCAGATGTTTATGGTTAATTGATAAAGCTTTTATTTATTTATTTTAATATGATCTCAAAGTAGCTATTGACAGGTGGCAGTTAAAGTTATTCGACATAGATCAGTGAATACTTTCTGCAGCTAATATGATTGTAAAAAAAATAATTGAAATTTTTAAGTTAAAAATTACCACATTATTGTACTGACTGTGATCAAGTTAAATACATGACCGTTTCAAATCCTCAAAGTTAAAAGAGTCCATTTAATAATTACGATAGTCGTGATAAAGTTAATTCTATGACTGTATAATTTTTTTCAAGTTGAAAAGCGTCCACATTATCCTCATATTCTATCAGTGTCAATTACCGTTTTAGAGTCCAACAATAAATAAATAAATAAAAACGACAGTGTTACGTACCTTACATAAGAGTGCCTCAGTTTCTTTGAGTAATTTTTAGTTTATTATCTGGCGTTTTGAGCACTGATAATATACCTGTATCAATTGGTTTTCACCTCGAGGACAATTATTTCATACATAACTTTTTATATTTAATATTATCTTTCATTATTATTCATTTTCCCTTTTTTTACAAATATAAAAATTTACTCTTGTTATGATTACTTTTCTCCTCCAATCGATTGTTACACTAGTTTTTTGTGTCAATTATGTTTGGCTTTCGTTCATGGGAATGGCCTTCAACTATAATCATTCCCTAGTCCAACTGTTTGCTGTCTTTAAAAAATATTCTTTTTGCATTTTCCAAACTTTGTTTCTGAGAGCTGATGTCAACGATATCTTCCTCATTCAGAATAATCAAAGTTGTAAAACTTCTTTAATTAACACGGTTCTTCACACAGTTACAAGTGGATATCGTTGGCTTTTTCATCAATGTTACGTAGAAAAAAAAATGCATGGTATTCAGACAATGAAAATCACATGTCACGAATTGGTCTTAGAGTAACAATAAATAATATTACTATTATAATAACAATATGACAAATGATTTTTGATGATATGAAAGAGAGAAGAAGTGATCTGGTAGAGGCACTGAATTTTTTTTCAACATCTTAGAACCAAAATGAGCTCACCCATTTGTGCAATTCAGTAACCACCTTATACAAGAAATCAAAGAACTAATTCAAAACCAAAATTACCTTATAGACGTACCGACTGCATGCAAGTAGCACGTGACCATGTACTGGTCAATCTTCTTGCAGAACACAGAACAGAATCGAATATTTTAGTTTAGGAAGAAGAGTCAATAAAATTTTGTTATGTAACATGTAGAAATCGACCAATACCATGATGTTCTAACACTGTATAATAATTTCTTATAAGACACCCTGTGATAAAAGGTTCCATAACTCAGCTGATAGAGCTCAGAAGGGTGAGTATGCCGAGCCAACATTCCCAAAGGGAGGAACTGATGGAGAATATGTGTTTGAAGAAACAACCTGAGTCATTAGCTCATAGTTTGAGCTATCAGTGAATGGATGCAACGCATCCATGCACCCTTCCTCAACAACCCTTGATGGATTTTTAAACATAGCTGCCAGTTCATTGGAACTGCAATCCCATGATTGATGATTATCCCATAATCCTTTACCAAGATCAGTTGGGCAAGAAAAATCTGCATAGTCAGGGGCGACTGTTGCTTGCATGTTGAAGGCTTCTTGAGTGGTGTCAAAATGTGGCTGAACCTGCATGGAGTTTGAGTTAACGTGGCCAACCTCTAGGTCACGACCTGAAGCACTGGCATTGCTCTTCTTGAAACAGTTACCGGGAACTATGCATTCAAGGTAGCCAGAGTTAGACTGAGTGGAGAAGAAGAAATTATCATCCTGAGGTGACCCAAAAGCAGTTTCACTGTCAGCATATAAGTCAGAAGAAGGGTTTTCAATGTGGGAAGTGAAAGTAGGAAGGTGAGATAGGGTAGTTTGATTGGTTAGTTGCATGTTGTTGTGAGTGTTATGTGAAGGTGGCAAGAGAGGTTGAGAATTGAAAGGAGTGAGAGCATTGTGGAAAATGTTGGTATCTTTAGAGTATACGAAGTTGGTTCTTGCTTGGCATCCTTTCATGGACAGAGCAGCTCTGTCATAAGCAAGAGCTGCTTCTTCGGCAGTGTCAAATGTTCCAAGCCAATGTCTTTCTTTAGTTAAAGGGTTTCTGATTTCAGCAGCATATCTACCCCAAGGGCGTCTTCTCACCCCAAGAAACCTTCCAGGTTCTGCTTGCTTTCCTCGCCCTCTTCTCTCACCAGAAGTTGATGCGTTACGTTGAAGAAGAGAGAAATTCATTTGGGTTGGTTTAGACTGATATCCTTTGAGGGAAACATCTGAGGTTCTAGAGGTCGACATGGCTTGGAAAATGGCAAGAAATATATGTGTTGGTTGAGGAGGGGGAGAGAATTTAAATAGTGTCACCTCAAGGGAGCAAACAAGAGAATGTGAATGAAAAGGGTGAAGTAATGCCAAGTCTTTTAAAGACAGTGACTTCATCATGGGAGAAGGAAAAGGAGATTTTGCATATGTCATTTTTATGCAAACCGTTTTCCCCTTTTCACCTACCTATAAAATCTTGTTATTATCTCAGTATATCATAAATCTGTCCAATTTTCTGTCACATGTCATTTTTTAATCAACTTTTTTCCTTTTCTACCAATGACATTTTTGTTTATGTTGGTTTTCTCTTTTCCTGTGGTTTTGCACGGGACTGATGCCAGTTTCTTTTAAATCTCTGGCTCTGCATTCCATCATCTAGTAGTGTACTTCTTGGTTAAACTGAATGGTGAAAATAAAGATTCCCTTTTTTTGCCAAATACTCTCTACAATCTGCAACAATCATTTTCTTCATTGTTCCAATGATATTTAAAATGGGTTTTGCCGTATCTTAGTAATAAGCATAGGAACCGATTTACCGTGGTAAGTTAAAAAATAGATCTACCTTAGCTTTCCAACTTGGTGAACAATGTAAAGTTTAGTGAGCCAATTATTGCATCTGGTCCATGCAAGGTATTGGCATTTGATTAGCATTGGCAAAATTGAATCCTTATTTGTATCAGTTCATGTGTAAAGGCCAGACTAATCATGAAATTCTTCCAGCTGAAATCTATTGTGTTGAATAAACCACCATTTCTCTCATAAAAGGTGTTATTCTCTCCTAAGCATAGTCTTTAAAGTTATTGAAACTATCTCTGAAGTATGGAATATTCATCATTTTAAGTTCCTAAGTTGAAGTATTTCAATACAGTTAAAGGACCCATGTGGAGGATTTCTATTAGTTAGAAGATTATTTAACATGATTTTTGTTACTTTGATAACTAATTAAGTAGTGCCTTTTACTTTAGGATCATTAAAGAGAAATGTAATAATTTAAGAAAGAAATTGATGATTTACTCCTATTTTGTTCTTTTTCCAGCAGAGACAATATTGAAAAACTAATACACGTACGCCTCAGAAGAAAAAGGCTTGACCCTATTATAACTTATGATATTTGATATATATATATATATATATGAACTACAAAAAAATCTATCATAAGATCACAAACTATATGTTTCAGCTAGTGGGATTTATAGAGAACTTTACTGGATGACTGATATATTCCGGGGCAGAACAGAAAATGAAAGCAACTGCATTATTTGTCTGCATACTCCTTGAGAGTCTCCAATCTTTGAATTTGGAGTCACCATATCTTAGCAAGCTGTTCACAAGTTGCATGTAATACACACATGTGAAACCTTGTTATGCATAATAATCAACCAATTATACAGTGAACTCTTGTTTGCTTCATAGTTTTCAAAGGGAGCAGTTAAAATTATCTGACCAGGATGAACATTATTCAATAATTTGATAGTTTGTTGTGTCTTCCCTGTATTGTCATTGAACCAACGACACTCTAGAAAAGGTTGTCTTATGAAAGGCCCACATGTTAAATTCTTAATTTTGTTTGTTATTTCATCTTTCAAGGGTAGAATTTTCAATACTGATGTGTCATGAATGGTTTATATGTTAGGCAGAACCGATGTTAGTAGTTCACATGCCTCAATAATGAAGTTAAGTTGGCAAAGGAATGAGTGTCAAATTACCGAAACCACTCAATATAAAATATCAGATTTTCTTGTAAATACTTCTTTCATGCCAAAAACATATGCATTTTGTAGCAGAGTTCCCTTTCGATTAACTTTATTTCTATGTTTGTGTCTTGGATCTTTCAAGCACAAATCAGATATTGCATTCTAGAATGTTCATTTACAGTTTTCGAGTAAACCCCACCATTTGATTTGTGAAAGTACATAGTAAGGTCATATTAGTCATTCAAAATAAGAAAAATTCAAATAAGAATATATGAACTTTGAAGTTGTTTCATCCATGTCCCTAATTTTCACCAGTTACTGCCCTTCTGATTTCCCAAAATATATATATCACTATTACTACGCAGTAAGTAATGTGATTAATAAGTTGCACTTTCGTGGACTTATGTGAACTTTATCAGTTCAGGGACTAGTTTAACAGTGTTTTACAGTTCCAAATGTTTTTATAGTTACGTCTAAGGTTCTAAAAAATATCTGTGAAATTGTGACAAAACACTAACCATAGTTAAACTTTGGTTATGCACAATTTGACAGCAGCATAATGCACCTGCACTGGATGCATACAAGATACGTCAAACAAACAATAAATTTACTAATATGACTCTAAAACTAGTTTGTAAAGTGAAATTTACGTCTATTTTGTTAAGAAGCGGAACAATATTAGACTTTAATCCATGATTCTGTTAAAAAATGAACTTTAAATTTATTTCAACCTGTAAAACCAGTCTGTAAGATAATGTTTGTATCCGTATATATATATATATATATATATTATAAACTAACTTTATCTCTAATCGATACGAGATTTTCAACACAATTATATACTATAAAATTGTCTTGTCTTTGATTCAAGATAATCCTTAAGGACCAGTGAAATGTTACAAAATAGATACTGATAAAACAATGCATACACTTGTACCGTGCAAATTAGATCAATTTTTAATAAAGTCTGATAACGAGAGACATGAGTAGTGATCTCGAAAAGCCAATAGAAAAAGGGGTAGTCAAAAAGGGCAACGAAAAGCTTAAACGAAGCATGCAAATTGAAGTTGACTAAACCGCCCCACAAGACAAAAGCTATAGTGGGCCACCATTTTATTGATTCACAGCTCTTGTTGTAGTATAATTTTACTCTCTTTAATTAATTAAGCCTGCAAAATCATTGTATGTGGCATTGGAAATAGCATGCCACTAATCATATCAAAAGGGTCAAGCCGTTTTGCTGTTTTTAACATTTTCCCCAGTGCCACACAATGCTTTCTCATCAGTAACCATGTTGGCTCGATTAAACTCGCAATGATCCCACTCATTTTTTGTAAACAGTGCAAGTGAAAAGTATTCAAACAGCAGACCAAAATGAAACAGATCACAAACGGCTCAATTACAGTTCTTTGATTAAGAAATCATTTGGGTTTTGACTCTAAGAACCCTTGACTCTTCCACTAAACATTTCAAGCAGCCGAAAGATACTCATATCTTAGTTTCATTTGGGTCCCCTGTGTTCAAGCTAAGATGTTGTTGGTATCAATGCTCTTCCTGTACCAAGACAAACCAAAAATATTGACATGCATAAACTCAAAAATTAAGAAAAAGCATCAAGTTTCTTTTAGCCATACACTATTCACTGCATACCTTTAGTTGTTTTATAGTTCAATGCATAGGAAGAGAAAAACGAGTTTAATCATGAGTCACATTATGACAGAATATGTACTATATTATACACAGACACAACACATATTAGGTGTTCATTTGGTAAGAGCATGTTTCTATTAGAGGCACTAATTTTAAACATACAAACCATGATTATCATAGATTAATAGTCAAGATGAGGGTAAAACACAAAAAATGATGTAATTTTGATAGTTTAATATGATTTCATTTTTAAAAGCAGTACTAAACTGACATGATTTTTAATGATTTTTAATGATTTTTAATTGAAGTAGTATATACAATTTGATACAATTTCATTTGTATCAAGCTTATAAGACTTCAAACTTAAACACTATTTTAATGCACCGCTTTTGTCCAAGATGACCTATCACTTTTCTTTTCTCAGTATATATAATATAATGATTGGATTAATAGTCTTGGAACTTACCATTTGGTAAGAAGAAAGGTTAGTCAGGGACATCTCAAAAGATGTGTTTTGGTTGGGTTGGCAAAATGATGCCTTTTTTTATAAGGCACTCTACATATCCCTAAATTAGATTTTTTTTTTCACAATAGTAAAAGTAAGCACAAAAGTACTCTATTTTTCTCATCACTTTTCATTTGTCTATTGTGTTTTAAGTGGTTTTGGTATAACAATATTTTCCTTGTTTAAGATAATTTAGTGTGTTACTTCACTTGTCTCTTGTTTTTATAGAGTGCTAATATTATAAGCAAAGAAATAGATTTATTTACAAAATAATAAGAACTTTACTGTTAGAAGAGAATTTTGCACATTCTCCAAAACAAATTACTCATACTTTTGTTGTTGTTAAAGGTGATCCGGCATTTAGGGATAAAGATAAGTATGTTTGGTTGGACTTTGACGAAAAATAGAGAAATGAAGTTGAAGTGAGAAATGTTGTAGTAAGCAACTTTTGGTTCAAACTTGTGTCATGTTAGCTTTAGCAGCTTCAGCTTGAGCTTCTATTCATACACACACTTGTGTTGCGTTTTTCCCACTTTGCAACCAAATTTCAGGACACAATCTGCTCTTTTTTGCTTTTTAAGCTCTTGCTTTTATTTAGTTAATTATGTGTTCTGGTCTGTTGTTCCTTCCGTCACCACCACAAAATACCTTGAAATGACATCATATTAAATATGTATATATTTGGTGATGCTAACTAAGCTGGTTAAACAGAATTGAAGAAGAAATTGGAAATACTCAAATGTTTTTGGCTCATGTTTTATTTTTTGTCGGTTTTGTTTTTCAATAATTTTACCATAACTTTGTTAAAACAAGTTATAGTAAAGTCAATTACTCCATGTTTAGTTTTAATTAAAGATGGTTTAGTTTATTGAAAGAAGATAATGTAAATTATTTAATGCTAGTTTTGACGTTTGTGAACACTTATGTGTGAGAAAGTGAGAGGTGACTTGTAAAAAAAGTTTAACCTCCCAAATTTGTAGAGAAATATGGAGAAAATCATGTTAGAAAAAGTATAATATCTAAATTATTCTTCTTGCATGATAATTAATTCTAGTTAGAACCATAATTGACTACTTTAAAACGGAGTACAACATCTATTCTGCTTCAAAATCGGTTATCTGTTTTATTTTGAAGTAGAAATCGCTATGATCCCAATTAGAATCGATTGTTAATATCAATTTGCATTGTTTAACAATATTTTGAATTGATTATATTATTACAAATGTATTCATTCAAATTATATATATATATATATATATATATATATATATATAATAAAAACAAAAATAATTAAAAATAATGTACCAAATTAAATATTAATAAAAGTATTAGAAAATAATTATAATAGTAATAATAATAATGATTTTATTGTATTTTAAATTACTTTCATTCAATCGTATTTTAATATAAAAAAATTCATTAATTGAAATATCATTTTATACCTCATAATCACTTACATTTTATTTTAAATTATTTTTAACTAGAAAAACAAAGTTATAATCCTATAATTCTATCAATTCAAATATATTTATTTTATCTATCTCACTCTTCCTATCACTCAAACTTTCTTTTATTTATCTTTATTTTTCATTTTTTCCCTTAGTCCAATCAACTTCATTTCTCTTGGTCGTTTTCTTCATTTCCATCATATTTTCGCTCTATCAAATGCATAGTGGAAAAATGAAGAATTGAAAGAGTTTTAACAAGATATGTCTTACGTGTTATTGCAAATAAATGTTGCCTGGAACTTAATATTTGTTTTCTTCACTTTCGTAACAAATAAATGAATAAATAAAAGTTATTCTTAAATTTGAAATAAATTTATTTAACAACTATTCCTGCCAAAATATCAAATCATCATTCTTTTTATTCACGGTCCAATTCTATTAATTTACTCTCATCCTTGTTGCTTTCTCTAATTTAAATTTAAATATTTCAAACTAATTTATAATTAAAATACCTTATACGATAATTGCATTATTTATATATTGATATTTGTTATAAATTTTAATTATAATATATATATATATATATATATATATATTAAAACATTTATATAATCTGGACCTTGTTCTGGTAAGAAAGAAAAATTAAAAACCATTCTTGAATGAGATTATTTTTAAGTATTTTTTAATAGAATGTCATTCAGTCGTAAGTCTTACCAAGAATATGTTTAAATAACTTCATTCATAAAGAAAATAATGTATACATGAACTGATTTGCAAAAGCCCAATTAAATAACTTATATAAAATTATTTTTTAATTTATGCTATAATTATTGTAATTTTTATAAATTTTTATTTAATTTTTTCCTTTTCTTTCTCCCAAATATTTATAAAAAACATTATCCAAATATACCCTAATAGAATGAAATAAATCTTTAAACATCTCTGTTTGGAAGTTCAGGTAACACAGATGTAGTTCCGCCGAAACAGTAGGTGTTTGGGTTTACAAGCCACAGCAGTCAGGAAAATAAAACATACGAAACAAACCTGAGACAGCAAAATTAAAATAAAAACACTACTATCACACACCAGAAATGTTAAGATACCAATGTAAGTGTTTGCAAAAAGTAACATCGACTAAAAAAAAACACTTACAAGTTATTACACCAACCATGCGAACATGTCTTAGCCACATGTAGACATTGTTAATTAGGGGAAGAAAATTGGCTAGCACTCTGATGCAGTAAAGAAAGGAAGAAGAGCCTGTCATGCCCCAAAATACAGATTTTCCCCAACATCCATTAACAGTTTTATTCTTTATAGAGACAGGATCGTCTATCAACCATATTTTAGTTAACAAGTCAGAGATAAATTATAACAATCTCAATCCAGTAGCTTATATGGTGACTTCAAGTGAAACTTGACATTCAACTGTTCACTTTAATTTCATCGAAATATCCAAACCACGTGAAAGCAGTCTGTCAAGAATGAGGATATAATCATGTTAGGCATTTTAGATTCTGTACAGAATAATTTATAATACACCATCATAAAAATTACATATGCAATCACGTTCTCTACAGCTTGTTATTTAATTGTTCTATACCAATTTAAGAAAACAAACAATGTTTAATGAGCTCCACAGCTGTCTTACCTCATACATGACTCGGGAGCTGTTGATGAAGACTTCCCTCAAGTCAAAGATTGAATCGTAAATGCACTCAGCATCATATCATCACTGGGCAAGCATGTACTAGTTTGCATTACCTTTATGCTTTTGACATAGCTTTTCATGACTTCTATCCTCTTCAATGTCACCTCATTGTGATTGAATTTGCTACCTACAAGAACAGCTTATCATTAACGACCAGTAAAATTAATTTCACGATGGATAAAGCCCCAACTGATGATTTCACAAAATCACAAAAAAGTATAATACCATAGTCTGAAAATATTGTCAAATAAACTACTACAACAGTAATGTTGAAGATTATATCCAAAATACACACAAATAAATTAAAATGAGAATGTGATGATATCCTTATCGAGTAAAGGTTAAAGAACTGAAGCTTGTCACCTCTTCGTTTGTATACGCACAATCCAGGAAAAAAAAATATATACATGGGTTCAAATTAGATGGTTGCCAAGATTCTACGGATAGCATGGATGAAAGTATAAAATCACTACAAGAACATTATTCCCCTTACCTATGGCATAATTGCAATACACATGAACATAGAATCACCAAAATTGAGTGTCATTACTTCCACTCAGCCCATTTATTAAATGAATCTGAGGACATTTTCTTCATCCTAGCCGCACCAGAATTTCCAGAGGAGTCATGCCATATCATCTTCATCTGGTAAGTAGCAGAATAAAAGGTCATTAGGTATTCATATTATGGCAAGGGCACAAAAGATTGTAGAAAAGTTTCGTGCAGAACTCCATATAGATCTCGTGAATTTTTTTTCCAGCTGCCACATGTTTCCAGGTTATTTTTTGTCATTCGAAGTCTTAACCATAATTAGTTTTTGGATTAGTTTTTACCTCACTGCTGTTACGGAAGCTTCTAGTGCTTCTCTGATATTTTACTTTTCTCTCCCTTTTTCTATTGTATAAATACACACGTTACTCATTCAATAAACAACACAGTACAGAGCAGTGCGTTGCATGCCTGCAATACGTGTCATTCTGTTATGATTTCACTAATATTTGTCATGGTATCCAGAGCCTAACGGTCTTCTTCTCCATCACCATTCTTTGCTTCTGCTGCCATGGGTGATGCAACTGATCCCTCTTTTAACGTTCACCATTTTTTATATCTTCATCCCAATGAAAATCCCGCCATGCCCTTAGTCTCTCCTTTACTTGATTCAACCAATTACCATTCTTGGAGCAGATCTATGCTCACCGCTCTTAGTGCCAAGAATAAAGTGGAGCTCATTGATGGAAGCACTCCACAACCATTAGTTTCTGATCATCTTTCTGGAGCTTGGAAGCGTTGCAATAACATGGTGGTCTCCTGGCTTGT